GAATAAGAAGGAGAGCGCGCGCGCGCGCGAGAGAGAGAGAGAGAGAGAGAGAGAGAGAGAGAGAGAGAGAGAGAGAGAGAGAGAGAGAGAGAGAGAGAGAAATGTTATGAACTTGGTTGTCTGACAATTTGGTTGCCACTCTCACTCAGAAGAACTCACACACGCCCATACATGCATGAGACAAAGGGGAGAAGGAGACAGGGTCCACTGCACACAGATCAGAGATAAACAGCGGAATAGCAATTATGCACAGAAGGGGAGAATACACTCAGTGTTTCTCTCTGCCTGACACACTCCCAACAACCAATCACAATTGACACTGAGAAGATCACAATTGGAAAGTAACCCAGATGATGAGCCAACTCAACACAATTAACCTCAATTATCGTAACAGAGTTCAACCCAGTATCTCGCCACTCAGGAACCACACGCTCCACTCACTACCACACTCTCAGAGTCTAGCGCTGCACAGGAATAGCCTCCCAGAGGCCAGCGCCATACACCCAGATGCAGATCATGAATAGCGAAGTAGCCTCCAATGCCGAGGAGTCACTCTGACGATGAAGAAGACAGTTATGGCTGCCTGGCTGCTACCGCAGCAGCAGTACCCACATGTACTCTGTGAAGACCTCCTAGATAGTCCTGCCAACGCAGATATCCCCCAGGGGATAGATGCGCTGAGTACAGCCCCAGCTATGGCTGTCTCAGGTGGCGGGCTATGGCTGCTCCACTCATGGCTSATGTCTCCGGTGCCACTGCAGACATTCAGCGCTGCTCAACTTGGTTGGCCACCAACGCTACCTGTGAAAAATGAAAGCCAAAAGTCCTCCTATCAGTTTCCTTCCTAGGCTTATAGATTCCTACACTAGCCTAGACCGAAACTGGACTGACTGGACCTATGCTGTTTCTCGGCCTCCCGACCTCTACCGGACCCGCCTATAGGCTATAGGACCGTATACCAGTATAGGCCGCTGAGGGCCGGTCTGTCCTAGGGTAGCCCGGGCCTGCTATAGGCAGTTAGGGTAGTAGTAGGGATTCGATTTGTTTAGGGCCTGTAGTCCCTCAGAATTACAGGTCTGTCCCTCGCAAATTTCCCAACAGGCAAGTCACTCGGTTAGTCCCCAGCCAAACAAAATTGTGAATCTAACCCTACGGTTAGTGTACAGCCTCGCAGACAAACTCGGCAGCAGAAATCAGCAAGTCATTGCAGGTTTACCCTCCCCGGGAGCGAGGACCTCCGAGCTAGGGGTGCAGACGAGGTGAGCGGCGAAGGTCACCCTTCTGAGCCGCCTCATACCGCAAAACTACAGACTTTGTTGTCTTGATCAGGTGTCTTTTGTAGAACCATCGGTTCTCAGAAGGAGGCTGGAACGCAAACCTGACAAGATACTGTCGGTCCGGGCCAGTGCCCCACTCATCCTCAATGGCCACCACATCATATCCCTTACCAGGGATTGGTGGGCCCCATTGAGGGGGCCGGTCAGGGAATGCATCAGCTGGCATAAAAGGCAGCAGCTTAGATGCATGGAAGACCGGATAGGTTTGTAGATGCAGGGGCACGTCAATGACATACGATGGGCCGAAAGGATCAGCGCCCACTGTATCTAGAACCTGCCACGGACCCAGGTAGCGTGGCAACAACTTGGGAGAAATATCCTCCTCCCTCGACAACTCAGAACTGGCCACCCAGACGTAGTCACCAGTGCGGATAGGGGAAGGCCGCCTGTGGCGGTTGGCTTGTTCAATCGTGGCCTTTTGGGCCTTGAACAAGTTCGCCCGGGCTCTTTCCACATCCAGACGATAACGTCTGGCGAACTCTGCAGTGCCTGGGGTAAGGTCAGGCTTAGCCTTATCGATGATATCATCGAGAGGCTGTCCTGATTCACGTCCCCAATGTAACCGGTAGGGACTGAACCCTGTCGAGGAGTGGACAGACATGTTATACATGATTTGTGCCCTCGCCAAGTGGAGATCCCAGTCCTGTTGATTAGGAGAGATCACAGGACGTAGCAACTAGAACAGGACCTGGTTCATCACCTCAGCCGATCCATTGGCTTCAGGATGACGACCAGAAGTCATGTCCAGGCGTGAGTGTCGATAGTCCTTGCAATAGGACTGCCACTCATCGCTGCAGAATATGGGGTCTCGATCACTCACAATAGAAGTGGGCGGTCCATGGTGCGTGACCCACCTCTTAGAAAAGGCTGCTCTCATAGCCGGTACCCTGACTACCTCTGGCAAGGGGATGAACTCTGCGTATTTGGAAAACCTGTCCACGCATACCATTACATGACGCATGCCACGAGGGGTAGTCTTGCCTAAGTCTGTAAAGTCAGTGGATACAGACTGGGCAGGACCATCAGGTATGGGCAAAGGTTTGAGCAATCCCAAAGGAAGTTTCCGCTGAACCTTGTTCCTTTGGCAGAGCTCATAGGTATCCACATAGCGCAGCATATCACTGTGCATGTCCTTCCAGAAGAAGCGCTGCGACAGGGCTGCATATGACTTTAGGAACCCAAGGTGTCCACGCGCGTCGTGGCACTCTGACATCAGCAGTGTCCTCAGCTGCTGATCCTCAGGGATGCACAAGCGCTCCTCTCCTCTGCTGTAAGTGTACAGCAGATCTGAACTCAGGGCATAGCCAGGTTCAGAATTAGGATCTGCTTGCAGACTCCTGACGATGGGTCCATAAGTCGGATCCTGAGGCAGCAAACGAGCGATGGTCTGACAGACCTCCTCTCCAAAGGACTGAGTAGAGGAGATCAACGCAAAAGAGTCAGGCCTACGAGAGAGGGCGGCTGCTACCTTGTTGTAGCAGCCCTTCTTATGCTTCAGTTCAAAGTCAAACAGATCAATGAAGTGAATGTAGCGTGGCAGTTTATCATTCAACTCTCCCTGGGACTTCAACCACTGCAGGGTGGAATGATCACAAAAGATCTTGAAGTGCCTGCCCAGGAGAAAGTGCTTCCAATGTTTCAAGGCACTGACAAGAGCATAGAGCTCTTTCTCGTAGGTAGAGTCGTGAAGCTTCTGAGTTTTGATCTTCTTACTCATAAACTCTACAGGTCTCAGACCATTACCATCATCCTGCTGAAGGACTGCCCCAATGCCATACTGACTGGCGTCAGTGGTGAGAACAAATGGCAGAGTGGGGTCAGGCAACTTCAGAACAGGCGCACGAGTCAAGGCCTGTTTGAGTCGTGCAAAGGCCATTTGACAGTGGAGGGACCAAAAAAAGGGAGTGTCTTTCTTGGTGAGGTTAGTCAGGGGTGCAGCCACTGCAGAAAAGTTCCTGACGAACTTTTTGTAGTAGGAGGCCAGACCCAAGAATGACCGGACATCTCTCACTGTCTGGGGCTGTGGCCAATCCTGAATAGCAGCAACTTTGGCTGCTTCAGGGGCCAGCCCATCTCCAGAAATCACATGACCCAGATAGATAACAGAGGGAACTCCAAAAGAGGACTTCTCCCTATTGATCTTATACTGGCTGTCACGTAATGCCTGCAGAATCAGAGCCAAGTGCTCCGCATGTTCCCTGGCAGTCCTGCTGAATACCAGGATATCATCCAGGTAAACAACCATGAACTTGTCCAGGTACGGCCTGAAGATGCGGTGCATCTCAGTCTGGAATGTACCAGGTGCATTGCAGAGTCCAAATGGCATCACCAGGTACTCATAAGTACCATACCCGGTTTTGAAGGCCGTTTTGTGGACATCCTCCTCTGCCATCTCAATCTGGTGATACCCAGACTTGAGGTCGACTTTGCTAAAAATGGTGCAACCCTGGACCATATCCAAAAAGTCATCGATCCTAGGGAGTGGCTCTATGCTCTTCCTAGTGATCTTGTTGAGACCCCTGTAGTCGATGCACATTCTGAATTCCCCGCTCCCTTTTGGGACAAAGAGGACTGGAGCACCGAATTGAGAAGTGTTGGGCCTGATCCAGCCTTGGCTGGTCAGGGTCTTAAGCTGTCGCCTGAGCTCCTCAAGCTCAACAGGTGACATCCTGTAGATGCGGCCCTTGGGAGGGACTGCTCCAGGCAGCAGCTCAATATGATGCTTGGTTGGCCGGTTGGGTAACCCAAAGGGCTCCTGCATCAGATCAGCGTACTGGTCTACAACCTGCTGTATCTCAGGAGGACAGGGAGTAGAGGGAGTGTCTGTCTGCTTGACCAGAGCGATTAACAGACACTCATGATCATACTGGCGAGAGAGAGCATAGAACTCTCTCGCTCTCAAGCAGAAGCAAGAGGTCTGAGGGTGGTAATCAGCTGCAAGCATACAAGGCTGATATACCCTTTTGCTGTTTGGCAGTTCGACCTTGGGGATCTGCCAGTCGATCCTTGGGTTGACTGCTCTCAGCCACTGCATAGAGAACACAAGGTCAAAGGGTAGGTCAGGGAAGATGTAGAAGTTCAAACTATGTCTGACTTCTCCAGCACGGTCGAAGGTAACAGGGATACCCCTGACCTTCTCCCTGATGGTCAGAACAGTGTAGTCCCCTATGCAGACCTGCAGCGGTTGCTGCAGCTGCACCACTTTCATGCCCAGATGCAGTTTTTGGACTGCACTGGGAGACATGAAGTTGCGAGTGGCTCCACAGTCTAATAGCCCTTTGATCCTGCGACGGTTGATCAGGGGCCGAAGCAGGATGAGATCAGACTTGTTCTGCTTTTGTTCTTTCAAATGAAAGAAAAAAGCAGCAAGAGCCTGACACTCAGACTGGTCCGGTTCCTAATCCGGGTCAGGATCCTCATATGTGAAGGATGCTGCCCGTGCAGCTCCCACTCCGGATGGGAAGGAAGAAGTCTCAACTGAAGCTGCTGCAGCTGCAGATGCAGTTGCAGCACTGGAGGGAACTGCTGTCTCCAGGTTCAGCTTCAGTTTTTTGACTGAGTTGGGCTTGGCATGTAGGGACAGTCCTTCAAAAAATGTTGCCCCTCACACCTCAAGCAGACCCCCTTTTCCTTCCTCTTCCTCCACACCCCTTCCTGTATCTTCAAATCATGCCAGGGAAGGGTGTTGGGGTTGAGGGGGTCTGCAGGAAAGCGGACGTCTCGTGGCATATTAGGGCGCCGGGCAGGAGTAGAAGAGCGACATCCCTGGCTCTTCCCCTTGCTGCTGGAGGGTGTGTTGGAGGGGGACCCGACCTTCTGAAAGGCCCCCAGCGCAGCCTGCAGCTGCTGGACAACTGCTGCAACATCTGGAACAGCAGCTGCTGCAGTCCCACCTGCCGGTGTACCAGGCCGGGATCCAGCATCAGATGAGTGTACCAGGCCGGGATCCTGCATCAGATTATGATCCAGAACCCGCATAAGCAAAGTCCGCCTTTCCCTTTCTACCACCGCGAGGGAAGGCGCCTTTCCTCCTGTCACTGGAGGGGGCCTGAACATGGAGCTTGGCCTCCATGTCTAGTGCTGCACGTCCAAATGAGCGCCAGTCTTTGTGCCCGGCGCTATACAAAGCGACTGAGAACTTCTCAGGCGCAGCCTTGCAAAAGCTAGTTAGCAGATCATCAACAGACATAACCAATCTAGAGGTGGAGGTGAGCTGCTCAAATTCAGCGAAAAGGGCCTGCAGACTGCCGCTGTAACGCTGCTGTCCAAGGCGTACGATCTTGTCAGCAGCCTTACGGGCACGTTCCTTGTCTGCAAACCTGTCCTCCAGGGCTTGCAGAAGTTTGTCAGCCCCCAGTGCCAATGCCCAGTCCTCCAAAGTCTGGCTCTGGGCACTTGCTGTAGAGGTAGCCCATTTTTGGGCAGGCCCCTCCAGCAGCTCCACAACGGTGGCCACCTTTTGCTGCTTTGGACACTGGAACCCCTTCAGATAGGCCCGGGTTCCAGCGGTCCAGTCCCCCACATCAATCTTGGGGTCATCCCCCTTGAATTTGCTGGGGGCAGGAATCTTGGGACCTCTATGGTCCCCAACAACTACAGCAGCAAAGGTGGGAGGAGGTGTGGCTTTGGCCTGGGAGGAGACATAGGGAGAAGACTTACGAGAAGAGTGAGGAGAGGAAGGAGGTGAAGAGGAAGGCTGAGAAGACTTTGGGGGTTTAGGAGAGGGGCCCACAGGGACCAAAGGAGAGATCAGGTTGGCTGCTGTTAACTGAGCAGTCAGATTCTGGATGGCATCCAGGATCTTAGACTGCTGAGTTCCCATATCAGACACTCTGGTCTCCAGCCTCTGGATCCTTTCATCCCAGTTTGTGAAATGGCTGGCTGTAAGCTTGTCTTGTAACAATACCAGCTCAGCCAGGTCCCTGGTACACTGGGCCACTCTAGCATCCGCAAAAGTCTTCTGAGCCTGCTGCAGCAGGTGCTCTTTTCTGGAAGCATCTGTTGCAGCTTCCAGCTCTGCAGCTTCTTGCCTCTCTGCTTCTGCGAGCAGCGCCTGATGCTCTCGCAACTTTTGCTGGATCTCTCTCTTGCGCCGCTGCGCAGGGGTCAGAGTAGGGGGAGGTGGTGTTGTGGCTGAGGGTTCCCCTTCAGCCTTAATCACGACCTCAACCTCCCCTGCACCTGTGTCAGCTGCGTCAGACATTTTCCCTCACAGACAACAATAAACAAAAATGAAACAGCAGGGGGTGCAGCGATTTACAGATCACACAGACACTCAAATTTCGCTGCACTGTCAATTCACAGAGCAATGTGGGTTAGTGGGCACAAGCAGTTAGGGTTGGAACAGGACCACTGGGGTCARTAATCAGGTTGACAGGRTGTCCARTAAAACCATTCWCTAACGATTTCCTATACCTGACACTGAACTTTTACTGAAGTTGCAACATGCAGTTTCACAACATTCCCGGGGTCACTAGGATTCCAGAGCCCATCAGAAAGCAGAGTAGATTAGTAGTATTGATAAGGGTAGGCAAGAATTGATTGAAACACAGCAACAGGTAGTAGCGATTTTGTAGACTACTCCCTGACATCCCCAGACTCAAATTTTGCCAGTGTTGACATCAACAGAAATTACCCCAGATATGGTGAATTTCATAATGTACTGTAATGACCCAAATACAGTGTTTCTGGACTAACGCTTTAGCAGGTTGCTAAAAAATAGAATTGCGATTCACCCCAGACTGACAGACTTGAATTCTGACGGTCAGATTTTGAGTTTTGACTGACCCTAGGTAGCCTAGACTATAAATAGACCCAGCGCAAAACTCAAATCCACAGTATCACAGTCTTTTCAGTACAGAATTCACAGAATGAGCATACAGGATGCAGCGCAATACTGTAAAGCAGTCCCAGAACAATTTGGAGTCAGAACAGGTCAGTAGATGAAGAGATATGAGTCAGGGTCGGGAGGAAGAAGATGGATATGGCTGTCCTGCAGTCTGACAATTTCACAATTGTTGCACTACTGACAGACAGACCATCAATCCTATTTTCACTAATTCTATACTAATTGCTACTCAGGGACTCATGTGGAACGAACTCACTTGAAGTACTATCCTCAGCGGGTGATGAAGCTTTGGCTATGGCTGCCAACCCTGGTCTCGCCAGTACTTGCAGACAGTCTTCCAGAGCTTCCCACGTACAAAATCTCCTGAAACTTATTGATCTGCTCCAGTATGATGAGGCGATTCACCCCCAACTCTCCTCGGATACACTGAATCTGCCCCAGTGGCGAGAGAAAACTCTCCTGAAGATATCTCGCCACTGCAGGGTATGAGCCGATGGTGCTAAATTTAGCCCTGGGTAGGGTTAATTTAGCATGAGGGGATCCTGCGATCAATCCTCCCTCCGCGCTCTGCTGGGATTGAAGCCGCCACCCAGTAATCACTGGATTAGGGTAATTTCGCCACCCTAGACCCAGTAATCAACTGCGGTCAGGAGGGTGGATGGCGAAATAACCCTATTCTCGCCACTTCCTGTCAGGCACACAGACAGGCTCAGGGTGCCTGATCGATCGCAACTGATGTTCCTGCAATCACCGCTTGTATCCCTTCTTCCCTGCTGGATAGTCACTGGAGATGGAGAACCACCATGGATCTTCTCGCCAGTTAAAGCCAGATGAAGAAGGTGCCCCTGTTGCGCTCAACCCTCTGAGCTCCAATTCCAAACTCGGCTCCGATACCAACTGTTATGAACTTGGTTGTCTGACAATTTGGTTGCCACTCTCACTCAGAAGAACTCACACACGCCCATACATGCATGAGACAAAGGGGAGAAGGAGACAGGGTCCACTGCACACAGATCAGAGATAAACAGCGGAATAGCAATTATGCACAGAAGGGTAGAATACACTCAGTGTTTCTCTCTCCCTGACACACTCCCAACAACCAATCAAATTGACACTGCGAAGATCACAATTGGAAAATAACCCAGATGATGAGCCAACTCAACACAATTAACCTCAATTATCGTAACAGAGTTCAACCCAGTATCTCTCCACTCAGGAACCACACACTCCACTCACTACCACACTCTCAGAGTCTAGCGCTGCACAGGAATAGCCTCCCAAAGGCCAGCGCCATACACCCAGATGCAGATCATGAATAGCGAAGTAGCCTCCAATGCTGAGGAGTCACTCTGACGATGAAGAAGACAACTATGGCTGCCTGGCTGCTACCGCAGCAGCAGTACCCACATGTACTCTGTGAAGACCTCCTAGATAGTCCTGCCAACGCAAATATCCCCCAAAGGATAGATGCGTTGAGTACAGCCCCAGCTATGGCTGTCTCAGGTGGCGGGCTATGGCTGCTCCACTCACGACTGATGTCTCCGGTACCACTGCAGACATTCAGCGCTGCTCAACTTGGTTGGCCACCAACGCTGCCTGCGAAAAATGAAAGCCAAAAGTCCTATCAGTTTCCTTCCTAGGCTTATAGATTCCTACACTAGCCTAGACCGAAACTGGACTGACTGGACCTACCGGTACCGTTGCTGTTTCTCGGCCTCCTGGCCTCTACCGGACCCGGCTATAGGCTATAGGACCATATACCAGTATAGGCCGCTTAGGGCCGGTCTGTCCTAGGGTAGCCCGGGCCTGCTATAGGCAGTTAGGGTAGTAGTAGGGATTCGATTAGTTTAGGGCCTGTAGTCCCTCAGAATTACAGGTCTGTCCCTCGCAAATTTCCCAACAGGCAAGTCACTCGGTTAGTCCCCAGCCAAACAAAATTGTGAATCTAACCCTACGGTTAGTGTACAGCCTCGCAGACAAACTCGGCAGCAGAAATCAGCAAGTCATTGCAGAGAGAGAGAGAGAGAGAACCCGATGTAACTAGCTATGGGCATCCCCCGTCCCCCCAACAATCAAGTGTAGTATCTGCTTCGATCAGTTTCATAGCCGATCTTCTCCCATGATCAAATGTAGTGTCTGCTCCGTTCAGTTCTATATCTTATCCGTGGTCTATCGAGACATTTTTATTTTAGAAAAGAAATAGAAAAGCACGTGCCTGCACGAGCTAGAAAGAGAGAGAGAGAGAGAGAGAGAGAGAGAGAGAGAGAGAGAGAGAGAGAGAGAGAAGAGCGAGATGGAGAGAGATTGTTACATGCTGCGCCTGCACACGAGGGCCATTTCCCAGGCCCTGCGTCCCTCAGGCCGAAAGCCTGAAAACCAGGGCCTACAGGCCCCGTGACCATTCAGCTTAAAAGCCTGAAATCCAGGGGCCTACAGACCCTGTGTCGTTTCAGACTACAAATGGCAGCAGCCTTTTTAGCCTGAAACGAAGGGCCATTTCCAGTCTGTCATCAGACCGGCCTGCCCTGAAACTCAGGCACCGAACCAGTGTTTTAGGAACAGGCTATTTTTGGCCTGTTCTCACACAGCTGCAGCGCCAGCCCCTGGCTCAGGGTGGCATTGGCAAGAGCAGCCTCCTGGACTGCCCGCCCTGCAGCTGCAGGCAGTCGGAGGCAGTCAGGAGGCAGGCCGAGGTAGTACATAGGGACTTCCCATGCACTTCACGGGCAGGCAGGAGGCAGTCAGTAGTCTTCAGGATTCGGCAGCAGCACTCTGGAGGGAGCGCTGCAGGAGTAGCAGTAGCGTTAGCCTTAGTCTTCAGTGGTGGGCGCCAGTAGGTAGCTGTAGTCTTCAGTGCTGGGCGCCATAGCTAGGATAGCACTAGAGAGAGAGAGAGATTGGGCGGAGGCCAGAGGTACCTACCTGCAGTGCCGTTGCTCCAGCTTCGTCTTTGAGGTACCTGCAGCACAGCGCCAACTTCACAGGTTAGTACCTGGCTCGTGACAGAGAGAGAGAGTTCTTCTTCTTCCTCTTCTCAGTCCACCATCTCCCTCTCACCCTCTCATTATCTGACTTCACTACATCAGCAGACTACGAGAGAAAGAGAGAGAGAGAGAGAGCTTGGTGACATTGGATCCAAACTCGACTTTTGGGCTTCAGACATTGCGACGAGGGATTATTTGGGACTTGTGACAAAGACTTGGTGTTGACGACATTCTCATCTCTCCGCCTCCTCTTCGTCTATGTATGTCTGGACCTGGCGCTTCCTTCCTGTGTACAGCGCCAGGGTCCTTCACACCTTGTGATGGACACGATGTATGTTTGGTCTGCGTTCAAACATTGATTGGGCTAGTCGTTAGCATTCTAGCATTCTGCTTCGCTATCTTGTACTACATTAATGAGGTCAGTCCCGGTCAGGTCAGGATTTGTATCCAAGTCTTCCCTGCTATTCAGCACCGTTTTGTATGTATCAGAATGCACATTGCTTGTTGAGATTCTACTTGCACTGCATTGTCCATTCAGTCCTTTTTATCACATTGCGAATCCTCGGTTATTATGTACATCGCCCAACTGGGCATGCAACAGTTGGTATCGGAACACCGCACGTGAATCAGGACAACCTGATTTGACACGTGTGCGGGGACTAGGTAGCTGATTAGTCTTCATGGATTGATTAGAGCACACTAGTTAGCCCCCAAAATCACGATTTTGACCTCACTGCCGAAAATCGATTTTTTTTTTCTTTTCTTGGATTTTGTTTTCTCCCTATTTCTGTTGTGGAAAATCGCAATAGCGCAACATCTGAAATTTCCATTTTTGTTTTTCTTCTGAAAATTCGAAATTTCGTTGTTGAAAATCCGGATTATCCTTCTTTTCGAAAATTTCGATTTCCTGTTGCATTTCCTGTTACTTGGAAATTCAGAATATTCTTTTTTCGAAATTCGTTTGTTTTTTAAAATGGTACGAGAAATCCCTCCTGCGGGTATTATTTTCCAAACTGAGAATACTCTCATCTGAGTAAGTCCGAATATTTGATTTCTTTTGGGAACATTTTTTTCGCAGTTCTAGGATTCTGTTAGTCATTTCTATAAACCATTTGTAGTCTGAAGTCAATTTTTTTTCCCTCATTGATCATTTCGCACTTCAAGGGAGGTTAGGAGACCTACTGAACTTGCAAAACTCGGGATTTTTATTATTTCGAATTTTTTTTGCAAAGTTCAAACTTTTCTATTTTGATTAGTGGCTCCTTATCTGGGCGATTCTCCCCACCCACCCTCCCCACCTACGTTGTTGCCACCTCTCGCCTTACCTTCTCTACCTGTCTCCGGGTACCCCATGCGACGGCATTGGTGAGTTGCCATGTTAGCAGGCCACGTCAACAGACAGCAGTGCCACGTCAGCAGCAGGGAATACCACGTCAGCAGGCCCCCGGCCTGGTCTATGCTGTTGCGTTCACAAACAGCCGTCCAAAGGTCCGGAGAGGCAGACGAGGCCTATCACGCTTGGATGCTGGCCTGGAGTACCGAAACAAAGAGACGGGCGGATGACGCAGCAACAGCAGCGAAGAAGAAGGCAGAGGACGCCGAGCAGACACGTCTGCTGGCACTTGAACAACAGCGCCAGCACGACGAGGCAGCAACAAAGGCTGCTGATGAAGAACGAGTTCAACGGCGGGAGAAGATATTCAGTAGAGAGCAAACATTACTCACAATGGTAGCGGAATGGCGGACCGAGGCCGAGAATGGCAAGATGGAGGATAGCGAAAATAAGATCGCTCTACTCCTCTCCCATCTCACAGACCTCCTGGCGACATGCATTACACAGCAGGAGGACATCCATAGCCTCGACGACGCGCTGACTCAAGTCCACGGCCGCCTTCGGTAGCTGAAGCAGCGACCTGTCGCCGCCCCGATGCAAGCTCTTCCAACACCTCCCATCGCCTCGAAGCATTGGAGATGGACGTCGGCTCCCTCAAGGACGGCGTGCAGTTACAGCAGACTGCAACGCAACAGTTGGAACAATGGATCTGCACTGCCGCCAACCACTCGAGTTCGGAACCGCGCGAGACAGCTCCAAAGTTCGACGGGCAGGAAATCTTCTGCGACTCTACGAAGACAGATCCAATTTCATGGTTCAGCAAGTTCGAGCTCACGCTGCAGCTACACTACGTCAAAAAACACAAGCACCACGCGTACTTATACTCCCGGTCGGGGGGCTCGTGCCAGGCATGGTTGGACAATCTCTTGTCCAAGTACGGAGTAGTAGCTGGCGACTTGCACACCAAGATTAGCTGGGATGATCTGAAGGCGGAGTGGCACAAGCGGTTCCAAGTGGAGATGCCGGAGATCAAGGGAATGGACAAGCTAATGGTCTTCGAACAAGGCACGCTATCGAGTACCGACTAGATTGTCGAAATATAAATAATAAAAATAGCTAAATAAAAAATAATGATTATAAAAATAGATTTCTAAAAAGTAATTTAAAAAAAAATAAAAAATACATTTTTTTAATTCTTACAATATACTTAATTTATAAAATAGTTCATTTATAATGAATTAAAATCATAATCTATATAGAAATATAAATAGAGTACCAACGCTTGACATCAATCCCGGACATCCAGATGGGCTTCAAAGCCATCCGCCACTATTTCATCTCAAGGTCCTGTCCGACATTAAGCAATGCCATGACTCACGTCGAGGACACCTTGATGACAACGGCGGAACTCTTTGACAAGGCCGCGCAGATTATCATCACGAACAAGGAGGCTAAGAACCTGCGTTCGTCTGCGCCAGGCCCGAGCAGGGACCAGCATCGGCCAAGAGTGGCCGTGGTCGCGGCGGCAATGCCGTTTGACCAATCTAGCGAGGTTGTGTCTGCCAATGAAGGGGGCAGACTCGCAGTCGCCCGGGAAGGTGGCCGCCCCGGCAAAGGCCGAGGACGCGGCAAAACGAAGACACACACCGCATCTAGCCCCGGGCCCGGCGCAATAGCTCTAGCCCCATGGTCCCAATACGGCATCTCCGAGCAAGCATTCAAGTCGCGCACGAGATTCCACTATTGCCTATGGTGCAACAACGATCTCCATGAGACACTGGCCTGCCCAATGAAAGGCAAGGGCAAACAGGGAAACTGAGCACCGTCGAGAGTGACTCGACGACACTCTCGACGCCTTTGGAACCGATCTCTTCGCGAGTGACCGACCTTCATTCTGAGGCGCAAGCGGAAGTCGATAGTCCTCCTCTTCTGTATTCTTTCGAGGATTATGCTGCCCGGCTCGTTCCTACGCTGGGTACTCAAGCTAAAGGACAAGACATGTGTGCGACATCTTCTCCGTCCGGCAACGGCGACTTATCGTCTTCAAGTGGTTCTTCACGGGATTCGGCGTGCGAGTTCAACATAGAGGTATTGGACCCACTCACGTCCGAGGACTTTGCATGGCTTTCTCTCCCGACCACGGGCCGCCTCCCGGGACCTCAATGCGCAACACTATGCGCTCATCTCCACACGTACTTATCCTTCTATGCACCACCAACTTCGCTGACGGATGACGAAGTCGCGGTGGGGGACATCCTTGCGTATGTTACCAAGGTGGCCCGCGAGTTTCGCACGCAGCGGTACGATGACAACAACGCACTGCTCATGTATGTCCGCATCCAGGTTGGGCAAGCGTCCTGCAGCGCTTTGCTGGATAGCGGCGCGTCTCGCAATTTCATGAGCCAAGCCTTTGTGCAAAGGGCTGGCCTTGGCACACAAGTTCGGAGGAAGGCAAATCCGACAGCGATCAAGTTGGCAGATGGAAAGAGGCAGCAACTTCTCGACCGTTACATCGAGGCCGTACCAGTTTATTTCACACCTGATGCATGCGAACCGGTGACGTTCGATATTTTGGACACGGACTTCGACATCATTCTGGGAATGCCTTGGCTTGCAAGTGCGGATCACACGGTCAACTTCCACCGACGGACTCTTAGCGTTCGCGACGCCTTCGGCGCCGAAGTGGCGTGTACTATTCCTCTTCCGCACACTTTGATTCGGTGTCAAGTGGTGACGGCCAAATCATTTCGGGCAACTTGCGCTTACGAGCAGCCCGAGGAAATCGGCCTATGTTTCCTACGGACCGTCGCGGTAGCCGACTCTTCACCCACGGACTTCTCTTCGGACCCCCGGGTGGTGCGGTTGCTGGACGAGTTCGCCGACATCTTCGAGTCACCTACTGGTGTGACGATCTCTCACGAGATCATTCTTGAGGCCGGTGTCGTGCCGCCGAAAGGTTGCATCTATCGGATGAGTGAGGAGGAGCTTGAGGTCCTCCGCGCACAACTCGACGACTTATTGGCCAAGGGCTGGATCTGCCCTAGTAGCTCCCCATATGGAGCACCAGTTCTCTTCGTCGGAAGAAGAACAAGGGTCTACGATTGTGTATCGACTACCGCAAGCTCAACGAGCAAACCGTCAAGAATGTGGGGCCTCTTCCTCTCATCGATGATCTTCTTGAGCGATTGGGCGGCGCAAAGTATTTTTCTAAGTTGGATTTGAAATCGGGATATCATCAAATCTCGATCCGGCCGAATGGTCGCTACAAATCCGCATTCAAGACGCAGTACGGACATTTTGAGTGGGTGGTCATGCCTTTTGGCCTCACCAACGCCCCGACGACCTTTCAAGCGGCAATGACCAACGAGTTCCGTGCAATGTTGGACCGGTTCGTGCTGGTCTACTTAAACGATATTCTTGTCTATAGCCGGACATTGGAGGATCATCTTGGGCATCTTCGACGAGTGTTGGAGACGCCCCGCCGTGCCAAGTACAAGGCCAACCGCGACAAGTGCGAATTTGTCCGGCAAGAGCTGGAATACTTGGGCCATTTTGTCACACGGGAAGGCATCAGTCCGTTATTGGACAAGATTCAAGCCATCCAAGAGTGGCCGGAGCCTCGGAATGTCACGGATGTCTGTTCATTCTTTGGCCTCGCCGCCTACTATCAGCGTTTCATCAAAGGCTACTCGAAGATCGCGGCCCACTTGACCAAGCTTCAATGCGAGGATCGGCCGTTTGACTTCGGAGAGGAGGCGCGGGAATCATTTTTGGCTCTCAAAACCGCGCTATTATCTGCGGAGGTCTTGCGCATATACGACCCGCTTTTGCCTACGCGCGTCACTACGGATGCATTCGGCTATGGCATTGGTGCCGTCCTCGAGCAACACGATCGCGTGGACTGGCACCCGGTCGAATATTTCAGCAAGGAAGTGCCCATCGTGCACTCCATTGACGATGCACGCAAGAAGGAGCTCCTCGCCTTCGTCCACCCGCTCAAGCGGTGGCGGCACTTCCTCCTTGGTCGAAGCCAATTCCGATGGGTAACGGAGAACAATCCGTTGGTCTTCTATAAGACCCAAGACACCGTCAACAGCACCATCGCTCGATGGATGACTTTCATCGACCAGTTTGACTTCTTTCCTTATCACATTCCCGGGAAGTTGAACCGTTTTGCGGATGCTCTTTCACGGCGTCCGAATCATTGTCCTGCGGTCTACTCAACCTTCGAGGTCGACGACAACCTGCGGAACAGCTTTATCCGCGGCTACCAAGCCGACTCCGAGTTTTGCGACAAGTACGATAATTGCTCCTCTCCTAATCCGGCGCCTTCTCACTACCGGATCGAAGAGGGGTAATTGCTGGTCCACTCGCGGGGGAAGGACCTTCTTTGCGTACCGAGTGATCCTCACTTGCGTACACGGCTTCTTGGCGAGTTCCACGATGCTCCCGCCACCGGACACTTTGGAGTCAATTGCACGATTGGTTGACTTCATGAGCGATTTTGGTGGCCCGGCCTTCTCGGCGACGTCACACGCTATTGCGAGTCATGCGAGGTTTGCCGACGCTGCAAATCCCGCAACCATCGTCCGTACGGCGAGTTACGACCATTACCGGTCCCGTTGAGGCGAAGGGAAGCGATTGCCATGGACATTACCGGCCTGTTCCCCAAGCATAAGACCGGAGTGGATGGGATTCTCACGGTGGTCGACCGACTCACCAAGTTCGCCATGTTTTTGCCTTGTCGCTATCATGCCAAGGCACCAGAGTTGGCCGAGGTTCTCTACGTCGGTTGGATTCGAACCAAGGGTTACCCCAAGGAAATTGTCTGCAACCGCAACACTCGGTTCATGTCCGATTTTTGGTTGGCGCTCATCAAGCGATGGGGCTCAACTCTCAAGCCCAGTTCAGCTCGCCACCCTCAGACCGATGACCAAACGGAGAGGGCGCACCAGACCGCACAGGTTCTCCTTTGCACTCTCATCCGTCCTGATCAGAAGGATTGGGTTGAGCGGCTGCCGGATGTCGAGTTGGCCTACAACTCCTCCGTCCACCCGGCTATTGGGATATCGCCCTTCGAGTTCGAGCACGGCTCGCCGGTCACTTCGTCGTTGGACACCATCACTTCACGAACGGCCGAGAGCGACGACCATCTTTTTTTCTTGCGTCGGATGCAAGAGTACTTGTCAAGGCACACGACCAGATGGCCAAGACGCAGCAACGCATGAGCCAGCAGGCCAATCGCCAGCGTCATCCTTGCCCATTCCGCGCCGGCGATCTCGTTTCGGTCTCCGCCGCGGAATTCAGCCTTGAACAAGATCTCTCTTGCAAGCTCCTCCCGAAATAGATGGGGCCTTGGCCGATCGTAGCACCCGCTGGAGACGCACCCGAGGGACCTTCCTTCACGATTCAGGTGCCCGCCCACTTGCCTGTCAACCCAGTCTTTCATTGCTCCAAGTTGGCTCTTTACACGCCAACGGAACATGACGATTTTCCCGGGAGACGTTCGCAAGACCCACCCTCTATGGACGGTTTTCAAGAGGTCGGCGACATCATCTCCCAGCGACGCTACGGCAACAGGCCAACCGAGTATTTGGTGCATTTTACATATTGCGCACACCAAGATGACTGTTGGTTGACTTGTGCGGAACTCCAAGCAACAGCTCTAGAAGTTCTCGCACGATACGAACGCAAGATGCAAGGCAAGCCGGTCTCTTCGGCTCCACGCCGCGCCCGCGTCCAGGTTCCACCATAAGATCGTCGGCTTCGCCCTCGCCTCGGCTTGACTGCATAAGGAGGGGGGGGGGTTACATGCTGCGCCTGCACACGAGGGCCATTTTACAGGCAGTGCGTCCCTCTGGCCGAAAGCCTGAAAACCAAGGCCTACAGGCCCCGTGACCATTCAGCTCGAAAGCCTGAAATCCAGGGGCCTACAGACCCTGTGTCGTTTCAGACTGAAAATGGCAGCAGCCTTTTTAGCCTGAAAGGGCCATTTCCGGTCTGTCATCAGACCGGCCTGCCCTGAAACTCTGGCACCGAACCAGGGTTTTAGGAACAGGCTATTTTTGGCCTGTTCCCATGACAGCTGCAGCGCCAGCCCCTGGCTCAGCGTGGCATTGGCAAGAGCAGCCTCCTGGACTGCCCGCCCTGCAGCTGCAGGCAGTCGGAGGCAGTCAGGAGGCAGGCAGAGGTAGTACATAGGGACTTCCCATGCACTTCACGGGCAGGCAGGAGGCAGTCAGTAGTCTTTAGGATTCGACAGCAGCACTCTGGAGAGAGCGCTGCAGGAGTAGTAGTAACGTTAGCCCTTAGTCTTCAGCGCTGGGCGCCATAGCTAGGATAGCACTAGAGAGAGAGAGATTGGGCGGAGGCCAGAGGTACCTACCTGCAGCGCCGTTGGTCCAGCTTCGTCTTCAAGGTACGTGCAGCACAGTGCCGACTTCACAGGTTAGTACCTGGCTCGTGACACAGAGAGAGAGTTCTTCTTCTTCCTCTTCTCAGTCCACCATCTCCCTCTCACCCTCTCATTATCTGACTTCACTGCATCAGCAGACTACGAGAGAAAGAGAGAGAGAGAGAGCTTGGTGACATTGGATCCAGACTCGACTTTTGGGCTTCAGACATTGCGACGAGGGATTATTTGGGACTTGTGACAAAGACTTGGTGTTGACGACATTCCCATCTCTCCCCCTCCTCTTTGTCTGATCCCCTCCTCTCCGTTTGTGTATGCCTGGACCTGGCGCTTCCTTCCTGTGTACAGCGCCAGGCTCCTTCACACCTTGTGATGGGCACGATGTATGTTTGGTCTGCGTTCAAACATTGATTGGGCTAGTCGTTAGCATTCTAGCATTCTGCTTCGCTATCTTGTACTACGTGAAGGAGGTCAGTCCCTGTCAGGTCAAGATTTTTATCTAAGTCTTCCCTGCGCTATTCAACACCATTTTGTATGTATCAGAATGCACATTGCTTGTTGAGATTCTACTTGCACTGCATTGTCCATTCAGTCCTTTTTATCACATTGCGGATCCTCGGTTATTATGTACATCGCCCAAGATTCTACTATGCGCCAGCCCCCCCCCCCCGCATCTGATCCATGGTCCAAAACAAAAGCGTGCATGCAAGATTTGTGCGTGCGTGAGAGAGAGAGGGACACACACACACACACACACAAACACAAACACACACACACACACACACACACACACACACACACACACACACACAAAGAGAGAGAGAGAGAGAGAGAGAGAGAGAGAGAGAGAGAGAGAGA